CACCAAGGCCAGCCACAGAACCTGCCATACAAAAGAAGCCTGCATGATCTATTTATTCCATAAACATCAAGTCATTTTGGACAATTTTCTATGCCAGTTTCTATTTTTTTTTTAGATTTATTTATTTTATTTGAGTTACAAAGAAAGAAAGGGACAGAGAGAGACAGAAATCTTCCAACAACTGATTCACTCCGCAAATGGGCACAACAGTTAGAACTGAGGTGATCTGAAGCCAAGAGTTTCCTCTGGGTCTCCCACACAGGTGCAAGATCCGAAGGCATTGGGCCATCCTCCACTGCTTTCCCAGGCCACAAGCAGGGAGCTGGGTGGGAAGTGGAGCTGCCGGGACTAAATTGGTGCCCATTAGGATCCCAGAGCATGCAAGGCAATGATTTAACAGTGAGCCATCATACCAGGCCTATCTAAACCCAGTTTTTTGAGCCATCACCACTACCTGGGATCTGTATTAGCAGGAAGCCACTCAGGAGGAGCCCAGATATTCAAATGTGGGACTTGGATGTCTTAACCGGCATCTTTTCCTGCTAATCTACCTCTTTTAATTTTTTTTTTTAGCTGTGACAATGGCCTTGGGATAATATTTTTTTAATTCCTTATTGCTCAGTCACACTACCATACTTACTGAAAATAATAAAGCATTTATAGATAAAATGTCATAAATGTTTCCATACCACCATTTTGAGTAACTCAGAAATAAGAGGAAGTATAACACAATAGGGTGATCAAATGCTGACAGTTGTTAAGACAAAATAAATATTTTTTTAAAAAAATTAAAAAGTGGACCCGGCGGCATGGCCTAGCACCTAAAGTCCTCGCCTTGAACGCTTCGGGGTCCCATATGGGCGCCGGTTCTAATCTCCACTTCCCATCCAGCTCCCTGCTTGTGGCCCAGGAAAGCAGTTGAGGAAGGCCCAAAGCTTTGGGACCCTGCACCCATGTGGGATACCTGGAAGAAGTTCCTGGATCCTGGCTTCAGATCAGCATAGCATCGGCCATGGTGCTCAACTGGGGAGTGAATCATCAGACAGAAGATTTTCCTCTCTGTCTCTCCTCCTCTCTGTATATCTGACTTTCCAATAAATAAATAACTCTTTAAAAAAATTTAAAAACTAAGCTTGGTCCCAGCACAGCAGTCTAGTAGTTAAAGGCCTCGCCTTGAATGCACCAGGATCCCATATGTGTACCAGTTCTAATCCCGGCAGTTCCACTTCCCATCCAGTTCCCTGCTTGTGGCCTGGGAAAGCAGTCAAGGACAGCCCAAAGAATTGGGTCCCTGCACCCACATGGGAGACCTGAAGAAGTTCCCGGCTCCTGGCTTGAGATCGGTGCAGCACTGGCCATTGCGGTCACTTGGGTAGTGAATCATCAGACGGAAGCTCTTCCTGTCCTTCCTCCTCTCTGTATATTTGAGTTTGCAATAAAAATAAAATAAATCTTTAAAAAATTAAAAAGGAGGCTTATTTATAATAAGAAGGAAACAATAAATATATAGAAATGACTGGCTATCTGTTTGGCACGGCTGCTTTGGAAAATACTATAATTTGCTGCTCAACAAATATTCCCAAACTTCCCTTGCCTACCCAAGATAACTCCTATCCTCAGATTTTTTTTTTTTTAATTTTTTTCCTTTTCCTTTCCAAACATCTACTGGAAATGCAGAAAGACAGAAGGAGAGATAGAAATCTCTCAAGACTGGTCCATTCTTCAAATGCCTGCAACAGCCAGGGCTGGGCCAAGCTGAAGTCCCAAGTCCAAAAGCGTCTCACTTGGGTGGCAGACACCCAAGCACTTAAGCTGACTCCAAAAGCAGGAAGCTGGACTTGGAAGTGGAGCCTGAACTCAAAACAGGCACTCTGCTGAGCAATGTACTACCCCTTCACCACTGTGCCAAACATCTATCCAATTGCTGCCTCTCATAACTTAATGTTTTAGTCATCTCTGTATTTATTTGTAAATTACACATTATCCCATTTGTTGTGTAACAAACAACATTAGCTGTTCATAAATTACTTTGCTCTGCATTTTTTCCTATGTTTTAGTTCTTCTGGTTTCTCTCAGATTATTTATTTGAAAGGCAGTTGCAGAGAGAGGGTCGGGGAAAGACAGAGAGATCTTCCATCCATTCCACTGCTTCTCAGGCCATTCGCAGGGAGCCAGGTTGGAATTGGAGCCACTGAGACATGAGCCAATGCCCAGGAGGCTTGCCGGCATTATGACAGCTTTACCCACTATGGTACAGTGCTGGTTCCTTGCTGTGTCTTCAAGGTGCAAGAATAGGAGAATTGCTGAAATATTTAGCATATACTGATATACTCACATATTCAACTTCACCAAGTAATATTGCACTATTGTCGAAAATGCCTACACCAAATCATACATCCAAGTTGTGCAAAAGAGCCATGCTAGGGCCCAGCACAATGACTCAGTGACTAAATCCTCACCTTGCAAGCACCACCGATTGGTGTCCTGGCTGCTCCACTTCCCATCCAGCTCTCTGCTTGTGGTCTGGGAAAGCAATAGAGGATGATCCAAAGCCTTGGGACCCTGCACCTGCGTTGGAGACCAGGAAAAGGCCCCTGGCTTCCAGCTTCAGATTGGTTCAGCTCTGGCCATTTGCAGCTACTAGGGTAATCAACCAGCAATGAAAAATCTTTGTCTCTCTGTGAATCGACCTTTCCAATAAAAATAAATATTTAAAAAATTATTTTTAAAAAAAGACCATGCTAACCCTCAATAATGCCAAACTAGTACATTTTTACCAGTTCCATAAGTGTAAAATAGTTTCCTGTTATGGTTTTAATTTGCATTTTTCTGATTATAATGGACAATGAACAACTTTCATGTTTGTGATCCAATTCTTGCAACTTTCATAAAATTTATTTCCTCTGCTTTTTAAAATTTGGTTGCTTTTCATTTCATTTTTATTTATAAGAGATCTACTTAAATTATTTTTATAAATTATGTTTTATTTGAAAGATTTTTACAGAGACAGAAAAAGGTCTTCCATCAATTGGTTCACTCCACAAATGGCTGCAATGGCCAGAGCTGAGCTGATTCAAAACCAGGAGCCAGGAGCGTCTTCCAGATATACTACATGGGTGCAGGAGCCCAAGAGCTCAGGCTACCCTCAACTGCTTTCCTGGCTGTAGCATGGAGCTAGACTGAAAGTGGAGCAGCTGAAACTCAAACCGGCTTCCAAATGCTATGTTAGCACCACAGGTGAAGGCCCAACCCACCACGCCACAGCACCAGCCCCTCATTTCCAACATTAATAAGCAAAAATGATAGTGCCAAAGAGTGAATTCTAAATCCAGACATTTCAAGTTCAGATCCTGATTTCTTCTGCTGTTTGCGTCATACCTTTGGGCTAATTATCAACTTTCCGTTGGCAGCAGTCTCTGTGAAATGGGAATAGTCCCAGTACCTATGTCATGGAGTTGCTCTGAGACAGGTGGGGAGCATGCAGGCCCCTATCCAGTCCCAGCACATAGGGGAGGGCTCCTGTAAAGAGTGCACGCACTAAGCTTTGGCTAAGCACTTGTAACTGTGAGGGTGATGCTTTCCAGGCCATTTTTATCGTTATTTCTCAGGGAAGGTTCTCCCCTGCCTCTAGCTTTGTTCCTTGGGGCGCTCTTAGCACAACACTTAAATAAAGAGGTCCCCGTTTTTCCCTGTCTCACTCTTTGCAAGGTATGTCAAGATAAGCCCCTTGGACAGGCTAGGTTATTCTTTTCACTAAAGCTTTTCACCCTTTCACCTGCAGCCTAAAAGTGCCTACTGAAAGTTCCCAAAAGAGCCGCTGCGAGCACCGCACAGGGTCTAACATACAATAAATACCAAATGAATTTCTAGCTAGAACAGCCTAATTCCCCCCAACTCCACAACATTCTGAGCCCTCCCACAACCCCGGGTTTGGCTAGCAGCGAGGCCATGGAGGTTGCAAGCGGTAGTGGCGATGCGCTTGAGCAGCACTGCCGTCCTTTGGAACCAGCGATGCGCCCGGTGATGCGCCCAAATTAGAAGTAAATTCTGCAAACATAGCTGGCGCAAAACACACGTCCCCTAAAGGGCAACCCCACAGTAGTGACCTCTCTGATGCCAGCTGCAAAAGTTAGTTTTGCCCAGCAGGGTGTCTCCGTTACTTTCATCTGATTCACGCCCAAGAAAAAGTCTTCACAGGGTTCCGAACCCATGGCCTTAATTCTGGGCAATGTTCTTTGGGGGGTAAGAAGTTTCTGTGGGCAGCCAGCACCCTCTGAGGAAGGGAGCCCCTGAGCGCCGTGCAAATACATCATCAAGCAAGGTAAAAGAAGCACATGTGGGAGACACCAAGAAGCACTACTTCAGTTTGATATGGTGCAACTGATGCGGTTTATTCCACGCCAAGGAGGAACTAATGCCACCAGAGATGCAGGTCCTTCGCGCCCGCTTGGGAGGTGGGGGAGAAGAGCGAGGACTGGGGCGACGCGGAAGGGCTCAATCTGTTTAACTTCAGCAGGGGGTTGCGTGAGCTTCCAGCCAACGTCCATCACGGCTCCTCGTCCTTCTCCAGGGAAATGTTCTCATCCACGGATCGTTTCCTTCCCCCGCAGCTCTGACAACGTGTTTGCAAGCAAAAACCCAAACACAGGTAGACTGGGGACTCCAAGACGCGGGATCTCCCCGCGGGGAGCCGAGCGCCCGGCCTTAGGCCCCGCGGTCTCTTTAAGAACAGAACCTCTCGGGACCGACCGAGCCCCAACCGACCCCTAGTTTTTAACCGAAACCTCACCCGGACTTCCCCCTCTTGAGTCAAATAAGCCTAACTTTGGATTTTCCCTCCCGCGCTGGCCAATCAGATTCTGTTGCCAGGCAGACTTGGGGCAGCCGCCGGTGCGAGCTCCGGCCGCCTTCTGTATCCGGGTGGTGGCGCCGACCAATGACGGAGCGGGCCGTCCGTGTAGCTAGGCAGATCGCGGCTGCCGCGACCATTCAGAAAAAGGAAAATAAAAGCAACGCACGAGCCCGCCGGGCCGGGGCTGTGGGGCTGGGCTCGAGTGGAGGTGACTGCCAGGTAGTTTCTCTTTCTCCGCCCTCCCCCGCCACCCTCTCTAGTGGCCGGGGTCGGCAGGCGTCTGTCCTGAGGTAGGGAGGGGGGCGACGTGAGCCGGGAGGAGAGCAGAGGAGGCGACGTGGGCTGTTGTTTTCCACAGCTTCTCGGCCCCGCGTGCACGTGCCCCAAATCGGGGACCCCCTTCCTCCCTGCCCTCATCGGGCGGCACCCGGGAGTGGGGCTGGGGGTCGGGAGCTGGCCGGAGGGGGGCGCGCCGCGGGGCTGGCGTGAGGGGGAGATGACGTAGGGGCCGGCGCCGTGGGCAGGGGGCGGCGGCGAGGCCGTGACAGGGTCAAGTCCTGAGAACTTGGGCCCAGTTTTTTTTTTTTTTTTCTTTCCTGGGCCTGGAAGACTTGAGTGCTTTCTGACCTCCCCAGGCAGATGCAGTGGGTGAGGAGGATATTGGAGAGAACTTTGTTTTTTTGTTTTTTTTTTTTTTTTTTTTTTTGTTTAGGGATGGGGGTCCTTGGTTTTGAGAGAGAGGAAGGCCAGGGCGAGGATGGGATTCCGAGGCTGCGATGTTAGTGTCTGTCCCCAACGTGAGCTCCCAACCCCTGTATCTTCCTGGACAGTTTCTCCCAGATGTGGGAGACATATTAGAAGGGGGATGGGGGCGACAGAATAGCGGGGAGATGATAGAGAAGGGCCTGGCAGAGTCATGGATTGGTTTCGGATTTTTTCGGAGAAGGCTGAGTAGTGAAGCAAAGACCCCTGGGAAATTCTGCAGGCTTTGTTTCTGTGTGGAGACCCCCAGAAGTGCCCAGGGCCCCCCCCTTCCCCGGGGTGAAGGGGTGGAAAGCCCATGTGGGTTCAGTCTTCAAGCCCCTCTCTCTCCCTCTCCCCTCCAGCCTCCATGCCGGCATGGCAGAAGAGGAGCCTGATGCCAAGAGCCCCAAGCGGGGGGCACGGGCCCCACCTGGGGGAGCTGAGGCTGGGGAGCCCACCACTCTTCTGCAAAGGCTCCGAGGTACCATTTCGTAAGTAGCCTTCTCCAGATCCTGCCGCAGGCCTGCACGTAGACCCTACCCCCCACCTTGTCACCCTGCACTACCTCTGTGGGGTGCTCTGCCTGACAAGCCTCTGAGCAGGGAGCCATGGGTGAGCACCTGCTAGCCATCCCTTCCTAGCAGACTGACAGAAGGGATGGGTGAACAATCTTTTGTGTGTGACCTGCAGCTTTTTCCTCTCCCCCCACAGCAAGGCCGTGCAAAACAAGGTAGAAGGAATCCTGGTAAGTGTGTTGGACAGCAGGCTGGAGAGAGCTGGAGTTGGTGGGGCAGGACCACGTTCCTGGCAGGTGGAAGGGGTGGGAGAGGCAAGGCGGTGTAGCCCACCTTGTCAGGAGACACCTGGCTGTGCAGCTTGCTGCCCACTGAGGGTGTGGACATCCATGGCCTCTCCCAGGGACCACTTGTATAGGAGCCCACAAGCTCCTTCCCTGTGTGCTCCCGGAGGGCTCCACAGAGTACAGGGAGCACTCAGCCAGCCATCATTTCTGTGGGTCTTGTGTGGGGAGCAGCCTGGCCTTACTGCTTCTCCCCACCTGTATCTCCCTACTCCCCTTCCCCCCTAGCAAGACGTACAGAAATTTTCAGACAACGACAAGCTCTATCTCTACCTTCAGCTCCCCTCAGGGCCCAGCACTGGAGACAAAAGGTAGGTTTGGTGGTAGGGTTTTAGCTGCCATAGGCTCTGGTTCTTGGTGAAGGGCATGCTGGGGAGGGACGTGATGGACAAGGCAGATTCTGGCTGAAGCAGATTTGATTCAGGCTACTGCAGTTGGAGTCTGGGAAGAATCAGCTGAAGCATTTGGTTCTGAGGCGTGCTTGTCCCTTTTCTTTCCCCTGTAGCTCTGAGCCCAGCGCCCTCAGCAATGAGGAGTACATGTATGCCTGCAGGTGGATCCGCAACCACCTGGAAGAGCACGCGGACACCTGCCTGCCCAAACAAAGTGTCTACGATGCCTATCGGTGGGTGGAGGGGATGGACAGGGGTAGGGAAGTGGACTTGTGGCCATGGCACTGACCCCTCTCCCCTAGAAAGCTCCTTATCTGGCTTCTCTTAGGTTCCACACACTTGATCCCTAGGGGTGCTCTGATCCTAGCTATCCTCCTCTGAGTACGCCCCCACTTATCTATTCCCCACCAACCCCATCCCTACAGGAAATACTGCGAGAGCCTCGCCTGCTGCCGCCCGCTCAGCACGGCCAACTTCGGCAAGATCATCAGAGAGATCTTCCCAGACATCAAGGCCCGACGGCTGGGTGGCCGGGGCCAATCCAAGTATCCTTGACTGGCCAGGGTGGGCCTTGGCGTACCTGGGGAGGAACCCCCAGAGTGTGGAGAGCCAGGAGTAGGAGCAGCCTGGCTTGCCTTGGGTGGGGCTTGAGGGCACACCGTGGCTGGGCTGCTCCTTGACTCACATCAGATACTGCTACAGCGGCATACGGAGAAAGACCTTGGTGTCCATGCCACCCCTGCCTGGGCTTGACCTGAAGGGCTCGGAGAGTGTGAGTGACAGCCTTACCCTCCTCCAGTTCTGTCCTGCCCTCCTGGGTGAATGTCTGAGGACTTGGGGACATGTTTGGGGAAAGTTTTGGGAGAGCTGACTTGGTAGCAGGCCTTATGAGTGTGGGTTCTAGGTACCTTCCGCCTGCCCTGTGTGGAGGCAGAGAACAAGAGGAACTTTGGGGTTTCTGGGATGGGAATAGGTAAAGGTTACTTAAGGTCAGAGAGGGACTGAGGATCATGCGGTTTGGTGTGCGAAGGAGGGTGTGTCCTTCCATACTACAGCCGGAAATGGGACCAGAAGTCACCCCTGCACCCCGAGATGAGCTGGTGGAGGCAGCCTGCGCCCTGACCTGCGACTGGGCAGAACGAATCCTGAAACGATCCTTCAGTTCCATCGTTGAGGTCGCCCGTTTCCTGCTGCAGCAGCACCTCATCTCTGCCCGGTCTACGCATGCACATGTGCTCAAGGCCATGGGGCTTGCTGGTGGGTGCCCCCTCCGTTCCAGCAGAGAAGCCCTCAGCCACTTCCACTGCCAAGGGCCCGCCCACGAACCAGGGTAGACACACCTTGGGGTCTGCTTTCTCTTCCAGGCAGCCCTCCTAAGACACACTCTAGATCTCCCGCTTTCCCACATCCCTCTCAATGAGTCAGGCCTTCAGCACCCCACCCCTCACTAGATTCCCTCTCCTGGCCACCCTTGCAGATGAGGATGAGCATCTGCCTCGGGAACGGTCGTCTAAGTCCAAGAATGGTGTGGAGCACGTGGAGAGTGGAGCACAAAAGAAGCCAGAGAGGCCGGCCCAGGTAAGGGGGCTAACATGGCTGCTTTGGGCCGGGGGCTTAGCATAAGTCCACCCTCACCCTGGGGGCTCTTGGGGCCTGCACTGGCTCTGATGCTGTTTTCTGTTGTGAAGCCTCCTAAGGAGCTGGAAGCCCGGGCCGGGGCTGCAGGCCGGGGCGGCGGCAGTGGCGGCAGTGGCAGCAGTGGCAGCAGTGGCAGCAGTGGCGGCAGCAACGAGCGGAAGAAGAACATAGTTGAGAGCTCGGCCCCAGCAGCCAGTAACCCCCAGGTTAACGCCCTTGTGGCCCGGCTGCCTCTGCTCCTCCCTCGGGCCCCTCGATCACTCATCTCGCCCATCCGAGTCACTTCTCCCATCCTGGCCCCCAAGCTTCCTTCAGGCACCCTGAAAGTGGCTACCCTACCCTTGCCCAGTAGGCCTGGGGGACCCCAGGCAGCTGTGCCCATCATTAACATGATCTTACCCCCCGTTCCTGCTCTGCCCACTCCCAGGCCTGGGCAGGTGCCACCCACAGGACTCCCTCCGCAGAGAGGTAGAGAGGTAGGCATAGGTGGTGACCCAGGAGCGCATGATAAGGGTGGCAAGAGGACAGCCGAAGTCCCCTTGAGCGAGGCGAGTGGGCAGGACACACCTGCTAAAGCAGCAAAACAGGATCTAGAGGAGACAGCAAGCGACGCCAAAAGGAAACGGGGGCGCCCGCGGAAAAAGTCAGGGGGCAGCAGGGAAAGGAATCCCACCCCTGACAAGTCAGCAGCTGCTTTGGTGGATGCTGCCCAGGCGTCTGCGCTGTCCTGGGAAACGTGGGGCTCCAGGAGGGAAACCAGCTCTGCTGGAGGATCAGGGACAGCGGCAGCGAAGTCAGGGCCCAAGGGAGAGGCCGAGAAGGGGGCAGCACTCACGCCTGGTCAGGAAGACGCCACTGCCTCCAGAGGAGGAAGGGGCCCCAGTTCTCGGCATGCCAAAGGAGAAGACAAAACTTCCCATGTCACCCCAAAAGTCAGCGTCATCAAGGGCAGCCGGAGCCACAAGGAGGCTCTTCAGCTGGCCAGGGGAGAAGCAGATCCTGCACCCCAGGGTCAGAAAGACTTCAAGGGACACGTGCTCCAGAGTGCTTTAGCCCACGAGTGGAAAGACCCCAAAGCAACGCCCCCATGATAGGCGTGTGTGGGGAAGAAGCCCTTTCATTCTTGCATCAACTCTGCCCGTCTGCCTAGTAGAGGTCCTTATCTGCACTTGCTTTTTCTCATGGCTCTTCCTTCCAGAAGGGAAGTCCTCTCTCCTCTCATAGACACAGCCGGGTCACCCCATCTTACACACTGCCTGGGTCCTGCCTCTGACCTTTCCAGCTCAGTACTTCAGTGTAATAGCCAATCTATATTGCCCTCTAACCTGGGCCCCTGTGCTGTCCTGGGGGACAATAGGGATGGGTAAGTGTGATGAATGTGAAGGTTAGGAAATCTTCTGGCTTTAAGTCATAGAAAAGCCTAACTCAAACTAAACTAAAAATAAAGTTAAAATTAAAAAAAAAAAAAAGAATAGAAAATAAAGGATTTATTGGCTCCTGTAACTGGAAAGCCCAGAGGTAGGGCTGGCTCTGGGTGGAGTTTGACCCAGTGGCTTAATGTGTCTCTAAAACAATGCTCCTTCTGCAGTCACCCTGGGGCTGCCGGGACTCCTAGCATTACATATTTTTACCCTTAGTCCCCACCCCCATTTCAACCAAAAAAAGAGAGGATATCTTTGTGTACCCCAGGGGTCCTAGCATAAAAGACCAGCCATGTCCACACTTGAACAATCACTCTGATCCTTAGCCTGATATATGCACATTGGCTATTTTACAACAGGGACTGCACCTTTAGGGAACAGGGTGGGATCAAGCTCCTGAGAATCATGTAGATGTCATAAATGGAAAAGGAGGGGACATTTGATGGGGAAGCAACGGGCCCTCAGCTGCTCCCCTGAAGTGCCACTCGCTTTGGCTTCTGTGAGGCACAGGTAGATGGAGGTCTGCCAGCCTGCTTCCCTTTCCTCTCAGGCTTGCAACTCCCTTGCTGCACCTGTAACTACTCCCCTCTGTCTCGTGAGGCAGGGGAGGGCAGTCTCATTCCCTGATAGCCACTCCTCGGTCTCCTCCTTTTGTTCTACCTGCATCATCTCAGATGTAGAGCCCCTTCCTGTTCTGGATTCAGCTTTCTCACTCTGCTGCATCCTCACTTCCCTTGTCCTTCACTCTGTTGCCACTTTTCATCAACTAGAGCAACTAGGGCAATTCGATTCCCTAGTCGTTTTGCTGAATTCATTCTGTATCCACCAGGTGTCACTATCCTGTCATGCATATGCCAGGACTTGGCCAGCCCTGTGGGGCTCCGGCTTAGGTGGTGGTTCTGCAGGTCAGGGAGCACCAATGCGAAGGGAATGCGGACCCTCCAGGCATGTCCTGGGGAAGACCTTGTTTATTGAGGACTAGGCAAGCTCTGTCAGGGAATCTTGGTTCTCGCCAAGAAATATAGATTTGTCTTTCAGGGAGACTTAATGAATTTCAACAACAGCAAAGATGTTTTTTTTTAATTATAATATGTAATATTTGATATCTATAAATAAAATATAGCATGAATAAATTATGAAGCTAATAACATGAGTGCCTATGGCCCATCTCTCAATTTACACAGTGAAACATCAGAAATGCCATTGAGTTTCTATTTCTCTTTATCCTGTCCCTATCCCTCTTAGAGGTAATTGCTGTCCATAATTTTGTCATTAATTGTTTTACATATATATATACAGACACATATAGCCATATATATATGGATTCTTAAAAAAATGTGTTGTGCTTTATTTTTTTTAGCTTAACAAAAACATCACACTCTTAACTGTCCTCTGCAATTTGCATTTTTCTCTATCATTGTTCCTAAGACTCATCCATGTTAACAGAATGCTATGCTTTATTCATTTACATCTATATATTCCACCTAGTGCATAAGCCATAAGTTACCCGTTCACCTACTACTGGATAATCTGGGCTGTTTGCAGTTTTTTGCAATTATAAACAGTGCTACTATAAACACTCGGGTACGATAGCGCTTCTATGTTCACAGTGAGGTTTTTTTTTTTTCTTTTTAAGATTCACTTCTTTTTATTGAAAAGGCAGATTTTTAGAGAGGAGAGACAAAGATCTTGCATCTGCTGGTTCCCCAAAAGGCCGCAATGGGGCCAAAGCTAAGCCTATCCAAAGCCAGGAGCCTGGAGCTTCTCCCAGGTCTCCTACATGGGTGCAGGGTCCCAAGGTGTTGGGCCATCTTTGACAGCATTCCCAGGCCACAAGCAGGAAGCTGGATGGGAAGTGGAGCAGCCAGAACACAAAACGGCACCCATATGGGATGCTGGCACTTGAAGGTGGAGGATTAGCCAATTGAACTATCACACTGGGCCCTCAGATTCCTAAAGAGGCTTCCAAGATGGTCCTTTTGATCTATATACTCACTCTGACTTGGAGTTTGCTCTTGTCTTATCCCCTGGAAGTGTTTAAATCAGATCAAAATGAAGAGTCCCATGAGAGTTTAGCAAAGCATCCGAGTGTGATAAAGCTATCTAATCTTTATGGTTCCCTGTAGCAGCTTTTGTAAGTATTCAGATTTCTTTAAGATGAAGATTATTTGAGCTTTCTGTTTCTTTTTGAGTCAGTTTTGGTAAAATGTGGGGGGGATTTTTGTTGTTCTTTTTGCAGGGAGGGGAGAACTCTCCCTCTTATATGAAGTCCATAGATCTCTTTAAGATTGATTTATTTATATTGGAAAGGCAGATTTACAGAGAGGAGAAACCAAGATTAAAATCTTTCCATCCATTGGTTCACTCCCCAAATGGCCTCAACAGTCAAAACTGAGCCGATCCAAAACCAGGAACAGGAGCTTCTTCCAGGTCTCCCACACAGGTATAGGGTCTACAGCTTTGACCCATCCTCCATTGCTCTCCCAGGCTGTAAGTAGGGAGCTGAACTGGAAGTGGAGCAGGCAGGAAGAACTGGTGCCATCGTGTCAGCCCTGCTTTCTTTTTCATCTCTGCTATGTGGGTAGTCCTACTCCCTGTTTTCATTCTTACTATTTACTTCTGCTTTCTTTCTCTTTTCTTCTTTGAGCAGGTGTACTAGAAATTTATTTTTCTTGTGAATTTTCACATGCTATTTCAGACATTGTTAATCTTCCTGTATATATTTTTTCCACTTCATTAATCATGACCTTACCCATAGTATCACTTCTGTATTCTTTATGCTTAATTTGTAGGCTATCTTGTTTGCTTTGTTTTGTTTTAAGATATATTTTTATTTGAAAGACAGAATTACAGAAAAAGAGAATGGTTCCCTCCACCAATTCACTCCCCAAATAGCCACAATGGCTGGAGCTGAGCTTGTCTGAAGCCAGGAACCTCTTTTAGTGTCTTTCACATGGGTACAAGTTCCCAAGGACTTGAGCCATCCTCCACTGTTTTCCAAGGCCATTAAGCAGGAGCCAACCAAAAGTGGAGCAGCTCCACTTCCCATCCAGCTCCATGCTGTGACCTGAGAAAGCAACAGAAGATGGCTCAAAGCCTTGGGGTCTTGCACCCATGTGGGAAACCTGGAAGAAGTTCCTGGCTCTTCTGGCTTCAGACCAACTCATCCCAGCCATTGTGGCCACCTGGGGAGTGAACCAGCCGACACTCTATAAATCTGCCTTTCTAATTAACAATAAATAAATACTTGCTTGCTACAACCTGGACGATACCAGAATCAAGCAAGGAGTCAGAAACTCAACCCAGGTTTCTATGAGGGGAAGCAGGGACCCAAGTACTTGAGCCATTACCTGCTATCTCCCAGGGTGTGCACTGGTAAAATGTGGAACTGGGAACAGAGCTACGGCTTAAAGCTAGACACCCCAGTGTAAGATGTGAGAATTCCAAGCAGTGTTTCAACTGCCATGCCAAATGCCTCGCCTGGCCCAGGTTAAACTGTTTACAGTGCTGATAATGGCACCTGTCCTCACAGCAAATGTGTTTCTACTACTGCTTGTTTCCCATCCTGCATATAGGTTTCAGCATGTTACTTTTTTCTCCTTAGATAATGAGATTATGTTGCTATAATTTATCTAGGATCTGATTACAATTTAATGAAAGAGACTTGTCTCTTATCCGTGTTGCCAGTAAGAAGAGTCTGTTACTGTAGGTTTCTAAAAAATTGTTTTGGTCCCAGCATGATGATCTAGTGGCTAAGGTCCTCCCCTTGCGTCTGCCAGGATCCCATGTGGGTGCTGGTTCGTATCCTGGCTGCTCTGCTTCCCTTCCATCTCCCTACTTGTGGCCTGGGGAAAGCAGTTGAGAATGACCCAAAGCCTTGGGACCCTGCACCCATGTGGGAGACCTGAAAGAAGTTCCTGGCTTCTGGCTTTGGATACGCTCAGTCCCAGCCATTGCAGCCACTTGAGGAGTGAATCTGCAGAAAAAAGATCTTCCTCTCTGTATTCTCCTTCTCTCTGTATATCTGTTTTTCCAATAAAAACAAATTTTTAAAAATTTTTTAAAAATTGTTCTTTTTAAGATTTTTTAAAAATGATTTCATTTACTTATTTGAAAGGCAGAGAGACAGAGCTTCTACCTGCTGACTCATTCCCCAACTAGCCAAGGGCCACTTAGACTGGAGCCAGCAGCCTGGAACTCTTATCAGGTTCTCCCACATACCAGGGTTCTAGGTACTTAGGCCATTAGCAGGAAGATGGATCAGAAGCAGAGCAGGGAGTGGTTCAGCATAACGGAAGTGCTACAACCTGGCTCAGTAAAGCTGCTGCCTACAATGTTGACAACACATATGGGCACATGTTCAGTGTGTCCTGGCTGCTCTACTTCCAATCGAGCTCCCTACTAATAACCCGGGAAAATTAGAAAATGGCCCAAATGTTTGGTCCCTGCACCCGTGCAGAAGAGCCTGATGAAGCTCCTGGATCCTGGATCCAGCCTGGCAGTTGTGGCCATCTGGGGAGTGAGCCATTAACTGAAGATGTCTCCCTGACCTTCCCCACCATAACTTTCAAACAAACAAAACCAAAAAATGTGGAGCACCCAGACTCAAACCAGTGTTCTAATAAGGAATATGCTGGTGTTCCAGGCAATGGCTTAACTTGTTGCTCAGATCTGGGTGTTGTGGCCATCTGGGGAGTAAACCACAGATGGAAGACATCTCTCTCTCTCTCCCCCCCTGCAACTCTGCTTTTAGCATTAAAATATTTTTTAAGAAGTCAATATTGTACCGCAGAAAAGCTATAAATTCAGAGACATCAGTTTTTACTTACTAGTTAGGGAAGAATTCATGGGAAAGGTAGTAAGCTTGAGTTAAACCTTGAAGGGAAGTAGAGCTTGGACAGGTGAATTCTAAGGAAGGTATTTCAGGAAATGCAGGGCTGTGGGGATATGGCATGGCAGTGCAATCCAGTAAAGAGAGATATGTAGGGGTAAGGCATGGCAGTGCAACCCAGGAAAGAGAGAAAGCTGTCGGGCACAAGAGGTGTGTAGGAACAGTAGAATAGTGAGAAGTAAACTGAAAGAAAGACACCAACCATTATAGTTCCCTGTTGCGTGAATGAATGAATGAATGAAAGGTCATGGTGTTCACATTAGAGGACAGAGGAGCTGGAATCCAAGGCAGCAGCCGGGCAGCTGTTACTAGCATATGGAAGGAGACGAGGACCAGGTCCAAGCAGCTGAGAGAGGGGAGGTCAGAGGCACATGGGAAAATCGACCACTGGTGACAGAACAAGGGGGAGCTCCCAAGGAGATCTCACCACCACTCTAGTTGACACAGGATCTGTTCATTCTAGGAGACAAGGCCATTGGCTTATTCTGAGATGGGTATGGTTGTTAGGCGATTATAATAAAGTAGCTTTCCATTCTGACTTTAAAATGTAACATGAAACAAATTATTCTCCTATAGTCCAAACACTCTAGTTGGTAAATGAAAAGCTAAATTGAGACTTGGGAGTGTACCTGCTGCTGCTTTTCCAACATTCTTCACTCCCTTTTTCCCCTAAATTCCAATCCCCACTCTCATTACGCTCCTACCTTACCTGCCAGTAAGGTCTTATTTTGTTCAAATATTCACTAAAATCAGAAGTCATCTTTTGCTATTAAACCAAAGAAAACTCTACATGCCTAGCCTATGGCTGAAAATAAATGAAAACAATATTTACTTCTGTGGTTATCATTTTCTTTAGTAATTAAGGCAAGTGTTGCATTTATAAAGTACACTAAGTTTGGGGTGGTACAGTGGTGTGGCAGGTTGATCCTCCGCCTGTGGTACTGCATCCCTAATGGGAACTAGTTCAAGTTCTGGCTGTTCCACTTTCGGTCCAGTTCTCTGCTTATGGATTGGCTCAGCTCTGGCTGTTGCAGAGTGAGCCAGCAGATGGCAGATCTCTCTTTCTGTCTCTCTCTTTGTAAATATGCCTTTCCAATAAAAATAAACATAAATCTTTTAGAAAGAGAGGAAAGAAGTTACACTAAGTGGGAGAATTGGGGTCATACATTCATCTGTGTGTTAACACCTCATGCATTGGTTCCTCATTAGACCTATTGCTTCATCTGGAAATATCTGGGCCATGACTTACAGCTTTCCCAAGTGCATTA